CCCCCCTCCCCCCACTAAGACCACATCAAGAGGGCACGGCGTCGAGAATCGGCTACCGCCAACAGCTTACCCGCCGCCCTCAAAAACTCAAAAACATTTTAAGGAAGGGGGGGGGCAAATTTGGGTTTACTCTTGGAGGGGCAATGGTGGGCGGTGAGAGAAAAGCAAACTAGAATAAAGTTGTTGCAGAATCACGAAATGGTCACGATGAAGTTTCAGAAATGTCAAAAAAGACGTTGTGACGACATGATCTCATGTCCCTAGGGTGTCCTACCCGATACGCCCCGCTCCCATCTCCTTTTGTACCAGCGCTGCTGTGCTTTGGTCTTGTCAGTGAGGATGTGCAAGTGGTGCACCAAACAGACAAAAAATATCGAACTGCAAGGGAGAACAGGCTCAAAAGTGAGGAGGTAAAAAGCGAGGCATACCAAATTCGACATTCCCGTAGCCTGTGATGGCGTCCAGGTCGAATACTTTTGCGTAAGTGTCGTCCACCCCTGTAATAATATGAGAGATATGGTGATGATATTTTTTTGGCTCTCGAAATTAATGGCAGTTTGACAACTTCTCACTCAAACTTGCAGGACATTCCTATTGTTTACAATAAACCACATACCAGACCAGTTGTCTGACTCAGCCCATCCATACTAGTTGTAACGGGTGCATGTTCGAATAATGCGCTCCAGTGTTGCAGGTGTGCCTACTCCCTTTGGCCCCCGCAGACCCAGCGAGTATGCAATCCCGCAATAGGGGATAGCGCGTTCAAAGATACACCCGGAACAGTCCAGAACGTAAACAGCATGCTAGTGAATTTGCCTTTACGTCCCTGAACATGGCACATTAAAACGACTCCAGCGAGTAAGCAGTCCGCCCGCGCGCGAGCATGCGGTATGCGGTGCGGTCGAACTACGGTATTCAACGGGGCACATCAGATGCCAGGTGAATTGAATCATAGCAGAACTAGGTAGAAGTTATTTAGCTCAGAATATTGACTGCAAAAATGTCAACGGTAGTAGTTACTTTGGGGTGGAGTGAAATATCTCATTTTCCACAGTTTGAGAAAAGCTTGTTATTTTGGAAACATCTAAAACGTTTTAAAAAGAGTAGCAAAACCTGTACCCGTACCCCCTTTTCACCCATTTCCCCCGGCAGAGGGTGTGGAAAAACACAGTCAGGGCGTTCTAGCCCTAGGTTCATATACAGGAGTCAATAGTTTTATTAACTACTACGCCCTTTGGATCGAGGAGGTTGCTGCAAAAGACACAGACCATAGGACACTGCCACTGCGTTTGGCGCATAGAGGCTGCGGGATAAGGGAGGAGGGGGCGGGGAAGGGGTGGGGGGAGGACGATGCACGAGGTCAACCTAACCTCACTTACCGTTCGTGTAGGCCGACTCCGCTGGCATTATCACAGAACTATTTGGCCCGGTGTGGTTCTATCTTGAAGCACAACGCGCAAACGCAGCGCACACTTTCACTTTTTCTACGCCCGAGGTCTTAGTACGCAATTTGAAAACGAGACAAAGTCCCGCCGGTTTTATTTTGCGACGTCGTTGGTGTCGCTTCGCTGGGTCCGTTGTTGTGGTCGGCTGCTGGGGCCCCCCCGGGGGTCACCACCGGCTGGCGGCGGCCATAGTCGGGCGGGGGCGGCCTAGCCCGGCTCGTCCTTGGTGAGGGCCAACGGCACCCTGGCCATGTCGCCGTCGGAGGGTGTGCGAGAGGGTGCGGGAGGGCGAGCCGACGGGGACGCGAGCAGGGGGTGGGTGCGGCGCGCGCGCGCGGTGGCCTCGCGTGGTGCGAACGGCGGCCGAGCTCCAGCGCCACTGCGGGGGCTGGGCGCACGGCGTAGCGCCAGCGCGGGGCGGGCGCCACCGACCCCCTCCCCGTGGCCG